CTTCAGGTAGAACTCAGAACAATTAACACTCTATTCTTAGGACAAAAGACGAGGAAAGAAGGAGAGCTCGAGAGAGCTGGGAACTAAATACAGGTCGTGCGCGCTAGCGCCTCGCTAAGCGAGCATGTGACATCCAGCCCTCGTGACCATAACCGTCACAATTTAACTTATGAATATTATTAAATTACTTAGTATTAATAAGTATTATTATATATTATATTTAAAAAAAGTAGTATAAGTAATCTCTCTTAACTAAGGTAAATAAAGCGTTAGCGTTCGCTTAGTACTAGACCCTTATATAAAGACTTTTAGTAATAGCTTATTAGAAGGCCTTACTTATATATATAACCTACTCGCTTTGTTAAGGACAAAATAGGAGACTATTAGAATTAGTTATAAAAGTAGATAATTTAGAAGTAGCTAGCTAAGGTAAAGTAGTACCCTAATATAGGAGCTCTTTTATACTATGGAACCTTCCTATCTAAGACTAGCGTAACTTATATAAGACTAGCCTCAACTCTTCTAGAACTATATAGCGTATAGGCTATCTCGCCTAATATAGGAGTTATGTACTAAGTAAATAAAGGGGTAAACTCTAGTACGTTCCGTAATACGCTTCTACCCTAGTCTACTTACCTATAACCTTTATTTTCTTAGGGGCTAGCCTCTGAACCCTTATAGCTCGTTATACTCGGAAAGTATTAAGTAGATATCCTCTAGAGATAGTAATAATCCTCTTATAAGATATAGAGTATAATAGGTAGGGGGTAGGTTAAAGAGTATATATTAGACTAAGGAGGGAAGAAGTTAAGGCTTATACTTAGGCGATATATAGCTAACGCTAGCTTATATAATACTAGTTCTAATCTAGACTTAGTACGCCTAGACTCTAATTACTATATATATAATTTCCTTAATAATCTTCTTCGAGGTAACTCGAGTATAGCTAATTAATCTTATAATCTTATATAACTTCTAATACTACTAGGTTAATTTTATTTATTCTTTAAATCTTTTAAACTTTACTTACAATAATAGTTTTATTATATTATTAGTAATTATATTATTAGTTAGAATAAACTCTACTTATACTCTCTTTTACTTAGCTAAGTCTCAAATAAAGTAATAGTATATATTAATATACTTAGATCTCTTATTTAGATAAGTATTCTTTATTAATTTAATTATACCCTGATTATCTCTATATATTTATATAAGATATAGATTCTTATTAATATATTTTCTAAGTCTTAGGTCATATAGAATCTATATAATCTATTAGCCCTACTTTATATAAAATACTAATATAATATACTCCGATTTATAGCTTAATATTAAAAGTAACCTTTACTTCTTACTTAACTATAATATTAAACTACTATAGAATATAATAAAACTCCTAGATATACTCTGTTAGTTATCTTTATTAGTAGTCTAGTCTATATTTAAATATACCTCTAAGTTTATATCTTCTTTTACTAGTAACTTAATAATAATAATAATAATAATAATAATAATAAGGAAGAGTAACTAAGTTATATATATACTAAGATAGTCTAATATAGGTTAACAATTATTCCTTTATAAGATAGAAGCCTTACTTAGGTATATCTTCTTTCGATCTAGGGAGGAATCTTCCTTATTTGTTTATAGTATTAGTAGTTTAATATAATCTATTATAAGAAGGTAATTAGTAAGTTTTAAGTAATATATAGAATAGTAGAGATATGAGCTATAAGATATTATTAGTTTATTATTAATTATAAAGGTTTAAGGTTAAGGTTAAGGATATAGTAATATTAAAGCTAGTAGTAGTAGTAGAGTTATTAAAGGAAAGAGGAAGAGGAGAAGTTATAAGGTAGAAGAATTATTTAAATACTATAGTATTACGTTATTAGCGTAGCGTTAGTAAAGTAAATCTATAGAGGTTTTTTAAGTCGTAGAAGTCTATAAGTTAATCCTTAATTATATAGTTTATACTATAATTCTAGTATAATATTGTTGTGCTGGGTCTACTTTCTCTTTTGCTCCACTTCCTTATTTGATCCACTTATAGTTCTGCTGCCTAAATGCTTCATGTCTGCCTAAACCTTACACTCTTTATATAAACACCTTAGATAGCTACCTTTTACAATGCAATCAATTCTCCATGACCTTCAGTACCCAATACCCTTTCAACCCAATAATATCTAATAGTTAAATATAATACTATTCTATTTATATTAATACTTTATCTAGACTCTCTATTAGAGTTAAACTAATACTTATTCTTATAATTAAGTATAAAGCGCTTTTTATTTAATTTCAGAATATTAAAGAATAAGTTATTATCGAGTAAAATAAGCTTTATAGTTTTCTTTATATTATAAATACTAGACTACTTCTTACTGTGACGACACGCACAGCTGATGGACCGCGCAAGAGCACGACTACGTCACGTATCACGAGTGGTGAGATTGACACTGTGGAACTGTCTATTCGAGGATTCTAAGCTAAGGAGAGAAGAGAAGAGAGCAGAGCTCGGGAGCCAGAGGTTCTTATATACAGGAGGTTGTGCCAAGCTATGGCTAACTGAGCCGGGCTCAGGAAGCACGGTATCCGCTGGGTTCCAGCCAGGGGCTGGTCTGAGGTGTAGTGGCGGTTAGAACCGTCACACTTACTAACTCTTAAGTCTTCTTATATATTATTAAAGGCGCTAGTAGTACTAGTATCTTTTTACTATACTAGTTATTTCTTAAGATTATACTATAATACTAGATTATTCTTATAAAGCTTCTTTAAATACTAGCTAGCTAGTATAATAGTAGTAGTAGTAGTAGTAGTAGTAGTAGTAGTAGTATGTCACGAATCACGTGCGCAGCACGTTGAGGAGTGAAGTCCAGGCGGCGCCCTGACAGGACGAGCACATCACGGACCCTTATAGCGAATAGGGATCGGTTAGACTAGCTAAGCGATCCAGGGATTTCATTTGGTTGTAATCACGTGATGGACCCCAGAGGATCCAGGAGGGATCCAAAAGGATCCATGGATCCAGTTGGATCCACGAACATGAAGGTTCTATATAACACTGGCACGTCTGCCATTAGATAGAAGCTTCGTGCTCAACTTAGTTATCAATCTTATCATATTAGTTTGACATCTTTTGTTGTAATCACGTGATGGACCCCAGAGGATCCAGGAGGGATCCAAAAGGATCCATGGATCCAGTTGGATCCACGAACATGAAGGTTCTATATAACACTGGCACGTCTGCCATTAGATAGAAGCTTCGTGCTCAACTTAGTTATCAATCTTATCATATTAGTTTGACATCTTTGATACAAGTAACGAGTTCACTTCCAAGTGAACAACCCGATAGTCTTCTTCTTATCATAGCATACCAACCAGCGAACACCCAGCCAAGTTTAGTTAGCCAGTTTGAGTATTCGTTACATAGTAGTAGTAGTAGTAGTAGTAGTAGTAGTAGTAGTAGTAGTAGAAATAATAGTAGAGAAGTTATTATTATGTAAGGAAAATTATTAGTTTAACTCTAAGTTAATAAAGCCGAAAAGATAATAAGGAAAGTATAATATAAGGCTAATAGTTTAGTATCGAATATATGATATTATAAAGGCTATTAATTATATATACCGAGTAAAGGTATTGTAAGTACTACTACTATTATATAGTAGTACTTAGTACTAATTACGGTATATAAGTAGCCTTAAATAGTATTTACTTATACCGATAAAGATAGTATTAGCGCTATAGTTCTATAGCTTTAATTTGCTAGAAAATAAGTATAATACTATATAAAAAGAAGTAAAGGTTAACTAATAGAACTACTTTACTTTCTAAGTAATAGTAATAGAACTACCTTTTTTTTCGGCCTTTTCGAGAGGTATTAATTTAGGGGGTATTTTAGTTAAAATCTAATTACGTAGGGGGCATTTTAGTGATTTATAATAAATCAGGGGGTATTTCAGTTAATTACTATTAACTAATTTACCCTTGTTTTATAACCGAGATACCCTTGAATTTATAGGGTATAATTTAAGGGTGTCGGTATATAATTCTGGTGAATAGCACCTTGTACGAGAGCCTGGTGGATCTATATGCTTTAGGTCATGTGAGTGGCTTGCCACTCATATACTTAAGCTTTTAGGGTACCACCTCTCTTTACCTTTACTCTTCATACACGAATGAATACAAAGAGAGATTATGTTTGTGTATCACCCTTTACGACAACCAGGTCGTACCAACAAAGGGGTATCTTAGTTATATGCGAATTATTTTAGGGGTATCTCAGGTATTTATAATATATATAGGGGTATCTTAGTTAATTACCGAAGATATATTAACTAATTATCCTAAACCTCTTAGAGAATCATAAGAGGCTTTTAGAATGATATATTTTTCTAACCGAGGTGTGTATAGAATTTCGCCCAACTGTCTTACTCATAGCGATGGTAAGGTTTCTTTCCATACACAGGTCGTGTGTTCTTAACTTCTCCCTAACGTAGCACGGGGATGACGGAGAAAAAGGAAAACTGAACTCATATGAACACAGCGGACATACACCCTCTCTTTACGCTATACTTCACAACCTAGCTACTACGAGTTACTCCTCCAAAGCATCTCAACAGCAGCCCAATACCTCTCAGGATCATAAAGCATATGCGCCACATGCCCCGACTCCTCAAACCTCTCCCCCTCAACTTTATAACCCCTCTCTTTCGCCTCCTTAATATGCTCCTCAACATCCCTCCACTCAACCATCTCATCACCCACACTATAAACATACAAACGCTTCGCACGCCCATCAAACACGGCGGGATCATTCAACTCCCCCCTCACACTCTCAATAAGATTCGGCCGTCCCCTCAGGATATCATTAACCCGCCACAAAATCAAGAACACCCTAAGTAGAAATATCCCCATCGTCCGCAAGAACACATTCTTCGGCATCCCCAGCGAAAAAGCCCGGATCGTAGCCTCATGTCTGGTCCGCCCGGGACTACTATCCAACACCACCCCCCTCACCGGCAACACCCTTCCCATTTTCTCTCGATACCCATTCGCTAGCAGTATACCCGTAAAGCCCCCTCCATTGGAGAAGAAATGGAGGAGGGTCTTCGACCCCGTCTTCGCATCGAGGGAGTACAGCACCTCGAGGGCAGGCTCGATACGTTTGCGATTCGCATCTCGACTGTGAATCGTCGTATCGAGCGCGCTCGTCGTCACGATCAAAATGTGGGATGAGGGGTACAGGTTCTCGTATGCGGCGGCGTATTTGGAGAGGTGTCTTGGGAGGGCGTCCATCCATCCTAGGAGTAGGATTAGATCTGGGTCTTGGCTGGTGGGGGGGCGTGTGTGCGAGGGTTGGTGAAGACATGTGGCGTGGTTGAGGGGGGTGAAGTGGTCGAGTCCCTTGGAGCGGGACATTTTGGGGTGTGGAGGGGGAATGGGGATGGGGGTTTTTTGAGAAGTTTAGGGTTTTGGGGAGGGGGTTTTGGCTGGGAAGGAAATGTGTGATGGCTATATTCTTACTCTACAACACTCTGTACTTTTGGCTCTTATGGCCTCTCAATTTATGGTGGTGGAGCTGTCCATGCGCGGATTCAATAGGTATTTCTGAAACACGTCGCGGCGTATTGAAAACCTTACCGAGGTACCTAATACTAATTATACACATACAGTATGACATTCAGGAATCGATTAAATGGTACTCATGGAGGCCCGTGCCATCTCTGACATAAAAGGGAGCCACTTAGCCATGTCTACACTACAAAATAGCCAAAAATCATATTCCACTAACCCTAACTTCTAGCCCTAACCCTAACTCTAACCAAACCCTAACACGAACCCGTCTACACTTTTATTTCTGATCCCAATACTTTAAAAAATAGTAGGTGTTGTAGTAGTATTTTAGTAGTGGAGAAGGAGTGGAACGTCTTGTAGTGGCCTGTGCGTGGGCTTATACATGCATAAGTTATGCGTGCATAAGTACCATTTAATCGATTCCGAAATTCATAACTCCAAACATCACAAATAATTCCTACTAATCCCAACCACAAAAGAACTCTCAATAAACCATCCATACTCTCCACTAAAAGTACTATACTTCTCCGCTTGAAAAATATTCTATCCACAACCTCACCTCACCTCACCTCACGTGATACCACCACCACCCCCTAGCCTACCTCCCCTCCTAAGCACCTTTAAACACCCCTAAACCATAAACCACAAACCATCACCTGACCTACCTAACAATACCCAAACTCAAACCCAAACTCCTAAAATCAAAATCAAAATCCTCGCAACAAGCTACCTAATCCTTTCAACATACTTAAACAGAAAATTAAATATCTATAATATATCTTCCTCTTATCTTAAAGGACCATACTTTCATTACAGCTGTGAGTAAAGTAAATATCTAGATCTGTCCCTTTACTCTATCTACCCTATACTCTCAGTCTATATAATTGATCAAATATTATCTGATTATTTACTAGTATCAATAACAAGTATACATTCATTCTGGCCTCTTTCTCTCTCTTTAGCTATCACCTTCACCCTCCCCACCCAACAAATCGCAGCACCCTTCAAACCTCACAACTCCAACCATTCACCACCCCCCATCAACCGCCCTAAATCCCCACCAACCCTCAGTCCACGCGTCTCTTTACCCCCAGCAAAACCAACACCAAAAATACCACACAAAGAATCCCTCCTGCACATTTCTTTGTCCGCACCCCCAGCCTCCGGGATTCATCTCCAAAAACCACTTCTACCACCTCACACAAAGGAAAGCACTCCCGACATGGCTTAAAGAATGAAAGACAACCAAAAAAAACTCAAAGACCATTGAAAGCGAGAATTCGACAATCACAGAAAAACCCCTTTATACCTTTTCGCAACACCCTCCTCGTTCATTTCTTCCCGGTCCTCCATCATTTGATTTTCCAATTGTCTTCATCTGGCACAACAACAACGCAAAAAAACATCGCAACCCTCAGAAGGGAGAGAGAGAAACCCCACTCGAGCATCTAGTCGTCATCGACGACCCCTCTTCACCATGGCATCCGTATCCCAGCTACAAGCCAAGATCCGAAGCCTCGAGGAAGAAAATACCAATCTCAAGGCCACAACACTCACCGGAAACGCTCTCCAGGAACGCCTCCAGCGACTCGAGGAAGAAAATGCCGCCCTCAAGGCCCAATATCCCACCAAGGAGTTCCGTCCGGGGAACAGCCCTCCCGAGGCACTGCGACACTCCATCGAAGCGAGTCTCGACGAGGCCGCTTCGCAACACAGCAATCTCCTCGCGGAACTCCGGGGGTCGATCGCGTCCAAGTATAGGGAGACGCTGACCTACTTCGTCGAGGAACTTCAGAAGAGCTTCACTTCGGCTGTCAATAGTCAGAAGGAGCTGGTGGACTGGGAACGGAAACGAGCTGCCTGGCACCGGACGCGTGCGCAGCAGTTGAGACGTGGGCGTGATACTTACCGAGCGGAGGTTTATGAGATAACCATTGGAGAATATGGAGACAACGTGGATCGTAATACCGTTGACCTCGTTGAACACATGAACCGCCGATTGGACGCTTGTCTCGAACGTTTGAAGCTGGGAATGGTGCCGTTCGATATTGATGATTATCAAGATATGGATGAGGTTGTGGCTGATAACACATCCAGCATACCGAGTTACAACCGGTCAAATGGCCTAGATTATCACATCGAGAAAGTGGAAGAGGCCTTGGACATCATGGAACTTCAAAGCATCGAGACCCGAGAGAAGGACAAGATGATCAAACAAGTCCAGGAGAAAAACGCCAAGTTGAAGCAGCAGCTCAACACGGAGAAACTGATCAGGAAGAATCCCTTGTATCTCGCTTCGAAGCTCGATCGCGATCTGGTTGACCAATTCATCGATAAGTTCAAAGACGATGATTATGAAGTCACCGACGAAGATGCAGCACAGCTCTTCGACTACTGCAAGGACCTAGCTCTGCGGTTGAATCAAGCCAATAGTAAATCCAAGCTGCGAAAGGACAAGATTTATAGCTTGGAGATGGAGCGTCAACAACTTAAAGAAACGCGCAGGGAACTCCAGAGAGCCCTTGACGCGGCCAAAGCCGAAGCTCTCGAAGCGAGCAACAAACTTCAGGTCCAACGCCAGACGGGCCTCAACCAACCCAGGAACATGACTCCGGAGTCACTATACGAAGAGAATCCATATGCGGAGGAGGTTGCCAAATACAAAGACCAGACGATCAAAAAGTTGAGAATTGACCTGGCCAGAGTCAGGTTACGGGTGGAGCAAATGCTGAGCGATGGTCTTATTGACATGGAGCATTTGAAAGACGCCAACGAAAAACTCGCAGCCTTGGGTGTCACGGATGGCGGCGAATCAACAGAAGAGAAACGCAAGCGAATATCGACCGATCGCAATTATGTAACGAGGGCAGAGCTGACAGAGGCCAATGTGGCATTGGAAAAAGCGTTGCTTGACCAAGCAACCATTATTGATGAAAGAGATGCTGCCAACGAGAGACTTCGGGATCTAGGGCTCGAAATCAAAAATTGGGAAGAAGGCCTCTATACGTCAAAGTCCGACGACAAAAGCAGGAAGGAACTAGAAAAAGCCCTTAGCCGAGCCAATAAGAAGATCGCTGCGCTAGACAAGAGATCCGCATCAACTAATAACAGCGATACACTAAAAGGACAAGTAGCCGACCTTCAACAACGCAGACTAGCGGATGCCGAGAAAAAGCTGAAGGACTGTGAAGAGAGGGGCGCAGCAGTTAAGAAAGCAGCTGATAACATGCAAATGTATAACGCCGAAGACAGGAAACGACTACAGAAACAAATCGAAGTTTGGAAACGGGCATTGAAAGATTGTGAAGAACGCGACAAGTATACGGGAGACGAAGAGTTGTTTGAGGAACTCGAAAGATATCGCGAAACGTGTAAAAAGATGGTTACCGCTGCCTACGAGCGAGCCCAGAAACCTGATGGGAATGAAGACTTCAAAACCCGATTTGAGGAATTCCGCAATGGAATGGAGGAAGAGAAAGTTCTATCTGACAATCTCATTAAAAGAATGCTTGCCTCAGCAGGCGAGAGATTCCAACAACTTAGAGAAGCGAAGGCTGAACGGGATTCTCTGCGCGCTCGGGTCAAGGACCTCAAAGAGAAGTTGAGAGATTGTGAAAGACGCAAGAGTCGCACAAAGTCCAAGTCTGGGGATGACATTCTTGACGATTTGAAAGATGAATTGGCCACTACCAGAAAGCAGTTGAAGGATCTCCTCGAAGACCGCCAGGGATCCTACGTTGATTCGGCTGAGGTGGATAAGCTGAAGGAGGAAATCAAGAGGCTCACTGACGAACTCGAAGAGAAGACGGAGGATCACAAGATTGCCGAGGATGAAGGAATGGACTGTTATAAGAGGCTCGTGGTCGTCGATCAACAGTTTGATGAACTCAAAGAGATGTACACGAAACTGGGAGCGCAAACGGATCGAGATATCGCGAAAGCTCAAGGCGATATTGATAAAGCCTTCGCAGCACGCAGGGCGGCCGAAGCCGAACTCCGAGAAGTCAAAAAGGCCCTGACCAGCGGCGGGTCCGAGTCGAGTCCTGGCAGGTCTGAGAAGCTACAGGACATCATTGACTCGCTCCAAGAGGATATCAATCTCTATGAGGATAGAGTGGACCAACTGAACAGAGAAGTCGAGGAGCTGCAGGCCAAGAACAAAACGCTCCGGGAGGAACGAACCACCTTCAGGAAGGCCCTCAAGGAGGAACCCAAGGAGTTGAAGGAGGCCGAGAAGAAAGTCACGCAGGCGCTCGAGGAATCCAAGAAAATCATCCTCGGCCTGGAAGCCGATTACCAAAATGAACAGAAGGTGACGGCCCGACTGAGGAAGGAGCGCAGTCAATTACAAGACGTGCAGGCGAAACTGGATGCCGAAAAGGCCCGGGCCGACCGACTCCGAGAGGAGCTCGAGCAATGCCGACAAGAACGCGACGAGGCGCCCGAAGTGGCCGAACTCGAGTTCCATCTCGATCGTCTCGAGACCCATCGCAACGACATGCGAGACCTGATTATGGGCCGTTTGGGCGAAGAGGTGACGCTCCTGATGGAGCAGGTCGCCGCCGCGGCTGACAAGACGACTTCCGAGGTGGATGATGTGGCCATCGAGGGAGGGGACGCGCCTAATAACATTCCTGATGAAGAGGACGAGGATTTTGAAACACGCAACCACTTATACGATCATTTGGCGAGGATCAAGCAAATCGGCGTCGAGTTTGACAAGCTCGTTGGCGCAGCTGGAGGGATCAAGATCAAGGAATCAGGCGACAGCAACCAAAGTGCACAGTGGTTGGAAACCATTACTCTCTTAGAAGCCGAGTGGCAAAAGAAATGCGACAAGGAGAAGAAAGATCTCAGAAATAGATTGGCCGCTTCGGAGAAAGGTAATTCTTCACCATTCATTCCATCACACACAAACTTGACTTGACGAATGAGATACTAACATCCATCGAGAAATAGCAAAACTCTTGAAAGGCGGCACAAAAGAAACAAAACAAGGGGGAAAAGAGCCGTCACGCCGCTCCACGAGGGCTTCAGCAGCAAGGTCCTCGAAAAGGAAAGCCTCGGATTCCCCATCTAAGCCATCTACGAACAAGAAGAGGAAGTCCAACCCCTGAGTCATCTGACCCGTCAACGTCCGGGTAAGGAAAGAGAATGGGTAATAGTGCAGTTGCTTTTTGATTTGATAAAGGGAGTTGGGCGTATAGATGATTTTGGTTTTCATGTAGAGTAGCTAGTTGGTTATAGTAGCTTCGCTTGAATTCTTTTTGTTTCACTAATACTGTCCTCAAGTGTCTGCATTGTGTGATTGTATGTACGCTCAATACCGCCCTCAAATTGTATCAAAATTCAGTTAGCGTTCACTTGAACAGTACTAGGATATAGCAACTATCCCATACTCCATAACAGCTACTCTACCAGTACAGCTCCTCGCAAAAGTAGTAGACTTCTAGGGTCTCCTGCTACCTGTCAGGTTCATTATGAATCCGAAGAGTAGTAAGACATCCTAGAAGCCTGCGACTTTTGCAAAGGGGCTGTAAGAAGAACGTCCCAATTGGGTATGGCCAGTAGCATCTCACTATTCTGGTTGGTGAGAGCACTAAGGCCAACCCAAATGGAACATTCTGACTACCAGTAGAGTAGCTGTTACGGAGTAAGGGATGGCAGCAGGCAGGATATGGGTATGTTGATGAAGGCAGCAAAATTCGACTAAACCAACAACCTTAAAAGAATAAGACTCGCGCGCTCGCAACAAAATGATACAAGATGACAAAATCAAGAGAAAATGCAAAGCCAATTTTGATAATCCCCACACTGCATTCTATTACAAAAGGGGGGGGGAAAACCGGTCACACAATTCTCATTACATGCATATAACATTATACAATAACAAGTTGAATTCTAGGACTACATCAAGTTAGAAGTGCCTAACAAAAAAAAGTGAGCAGGCTACCCATTATCAGCCACGCTCATGTCAGTCAGTACCTGTAAGGGTCATAAAAAAAGAGTACAGCTCCTATGTTAGTATCGCCACGAGAGAAAACAACAACGTCGTGTTAGATTATCCTGGGAAACTATCATCTGCATTAATGCTGTAGTCAATCCTTTATGAAGGGGGCGGTGGCGGTGGTTGATCACTGGGAGGAGGTGGTGGGGGAGCGCCAGATGGAGGTGGGGGAGGAGGAATGCTCGAACTTGGAGGTGGTGGAGGCGGACTGCCTGCAAACTGTTGTAACAGAGCCTCAATTCCAGCACTGCTCAATCCAGGAGGAGCGGCCAATCCAGGAGGAGCACCCATTGTTGGCGCAGGAGGATATCCAGCAGCGTAACCAGGAGCAGCATAACCAGAATATCCAGAGGCTCCTTGGGCAGCAGGATAAGCTGGGGCAGGTTGTTGCCAAGGAGCAGCGTTTGGAGCTGGAGCTGGATGGTTCTGGCCACCACCGTAATAGTCTCCTTGAGCATGGCTGTCGTTTCGACCACGATCTCTAGCCCAAGGTGCCGCGGAACCACCTGAAGGAGCGGAATCACGATTATCATAGCCACCGCGATCCTCTCCACGCTTTTGCCAAGGAGCAGCAGCACCAGTGGGTCCACGTTGCCATGGCTTGACGTCGGCGTCTACTGGGGGTCCTGGTGGTTGATCGAAGTTACCACCGGGTCCAGCTTCAATGCGTCTAGGAGCCTCTGCACTGGGTGCACCACCAGAAAGTTCTTGCATAAGTTGCTAAAATATGTCAGTAATGCAATCATACTTATAAGAGTTGTATGGCTTACCTCGTATTCTCTGTCAACTGCATCTCCAGCACCAATGCGACCTGCTGCTGGGCCAGGAAGACCGCCGGGACCGTCGTTGCGCCAGTTGGCACCACGTTGTCTATTTCTGGTCAGCATAATCCGTCGAAAAATATACAATGATTCGTACCTATCAGGACAATCCCTAGCCATGTGTCCAGCATTGCCACAAACGCGACAGATGATATTTGCTGTGAAGTTGCGTTGCTCGGGACAGTCGTATTTTCGGTGTCCAATTTGACCACAATTTTGACAAGCTTGATTCTCATCGTCACGTAGAGTACCGTTAAGAGCGGCAAGTTCACGAAGTTGGTTTCGCTTGAGTTCGTTCTGGCCCTCAGGAATTGATGCAGCCTAGAAATGTTAAAAACTTAACCAAGGCAAGGAGACAAAAGTACTCACAGTTTCAATGATGTTATGGATGAGTTTCTTTGCCTTGTTGACCTTTTCCTCGGTGTCGGCCATGATCAAACAATGGAGATCCTCTTCCTGGTTACTGGTATGAGCTGCATCGGAGCGGCCCTTTCCTTCCTTGACGGATCCTTTTCCACGGATAGCGATTTTAGCCTGGGATTCTGTTTCCATTTTCTTCAAGGTGTTACCACGGGGACCGATAAGTAAGCCAACTTTAGTAAAACGCAAGCTGAGTGTTAGTGTATGATCAAAAGCTAAGAGCAAAGTATATGGTGAGTTGACAGGTTAGTGATGACATTGAGCTGCATCCTCAAATGCCGCGCAGCGTCACACAATAATGAAATGGAAGAGGGGGGGATTTGAAATAAGAGGTTAGAAAGGTTAGAGGGTTAGCAATCATACTGAAGTTAATTTCTGGGTAATCATTGACTGGCACATAAACTTTCTCCTGTGTCTTAGTGGGACGGCGATAGTCCTGTGGTGGATGGTAGTTAGGAATGACCTTCATAGCCTTTTCAATGAGCTTATGTCGCTCATCTTCCAAGCGCTTGCGATAACGATACTCGCGAGTATTGACACGTCGACCAAAGTTGTCGTATTGAGGTGGAGGCGATGGGGATCTAAGCATAGTCAGAATCGCAGTATCCAAGGGCTTTGTATTTTTTGTGCATACCTGTCGCCATCCGCTGGAACCACATCATCAATTCTGAGCTTTTGGCTGATCTCCTCGATACGTAAATGGAGTGTGTAGGCCTCGAGTTGTTCACTGGTCATATTGGCCATGATAGCGGTTGGAAGTCCCATGAGTCCTGCAGCCTTGTTCTCAGTGGCATCACCCCAGCGATTTCTCTTCTTGCGACGTCTTCCTCCATCGGCACCGGGTTCTTCCTTCGCTGTGGGAGAGTTAGTATGTAATCGGAAAGCGATGAGAGCAGTAGAAATTCTACCTCTGGTTGGGCTGCGGCCGCGCTTGAATGAAGGAGCTTCAGAGTGGCCATTGCTCGGGCGCGAGGGATTGTAGCCACCATCGTCGCGAGGTGCTGTTGGTGGTGGGGACGCGCTGTCGCCGCCGAACCTGCGTCGGTTACCCAGAGGGATATTGTTAGACCCAGTGCTTCCTTGTTGTCTCCACGCCATCTTGGATTATTCTGAAGGGGAGTTTGATGGATGATGGAAGTTTGAATTTGGCACATGCAGGTGTGACAGGCTTGAAGGTTGGATAAGAATGAGGTTAATCCACTTTGAGGTTAGCGTGATAAATCCTGCTCGTGATCACGTGCCTTGTGCCTCAGGTGTGGATTGAGGCTGCCAAGAAGAACTTCCAATTGCTTCCATCAAAGGTCCTTCACCCACAAACCTGCAGGTGGGTACCCCCCGAGCCCCCGTATCCGGGTACCTATCTATTCGTTCATCTATGCTCGATACTGCACCCACCACAGAACACGAATGTGCTATGTTCATACTCGGCTACCTGTTGACTCTGTAGATACCCCAGTATGTAGCCCAAGCGGACGAATTCGCAGTACGAGTAGCCTGTCTATAAACACACATAGGCTATAGCCCATTCGGCGTTGCCAGCTCTCAGATCCGCAGATCCTGGTTCATGCTGTTCATTACTTGCATCCAGTGGAAAGTTCCATTTCAAATTGTACATCTATTACACATTGTACGATGATTCACTTACACATTTGACCAATGACCATAATGATTAGTGATATGTTTCCTAAATAGTTTAACTCCGATAAGCCGTGCTCGGCTGTGAAGTCATCTTCGATTACGAATCGATGGAAAGAGCCATGCGATCATGCTATCATCAGCGGGGTAAGAGCAACTCATCGAGCAATTCACATAAATCCCTCTCAACCCCTCTCCACCTCATCTCAACTCCACCCAATTCATGACAGGTCGCCTTCAACAACTTGCACACATTTTCAAAATGGCACCACGACCAGATATCCACCTTTACACAGCTCAGACTCCTAATGGAATCAAGATCTCCATTACTTTGGAGGTAAAACCCTATCTCATATTCATGGTCTGAGAAGCACGTTTTTGTAACATGATCATATTGAATATACACTTAGACTACTCACCACTTAACTCCAAAATATCCTCTGACTCTGATGATTGATGATCTAGGAACTCGGCCTACCTTACAAGGTCACCAACATCGACATTTCCAAGAACACCCAAAAGGAGCCTTGGTTCTTGGAGATCAATCCAAATGGTGCGTGAGACTTTCAACCCATTTCACTGATTTTGGGTATGCTCGAGTGGGGGTCGAACTTTTTTCTTTGAAGACGCCTCATCGACCTTGCGAACCTTGCACAAAGAAAAGACCCAAACTGACTCTAGGCCAGGACGAATTCCGGCTTTGACTGACACTTTTGAGGATGGAAAAACGATTCGTCTATTTGAGTCCGGTTCAATTCAACAATACCTGATCGATCAATATGACAAGGATCACAAGATCTCCTACCCAAAAGGAACCCGAGAGTACTATGAGGTGAACAACTGGTAAAATTCACATTTCCAGCTTGCGATTTATCTCTTAGGCGAAGACAACGAGTACTGACTATCACCAAGGCTTTTCTTTCTCAACGCTGGTGTTGGCCCAATGCAAGGACAAGCAAATCACTTTTCGAGATATGCACCCGAGCGCAGTAGGTGATTTTTGTATTCTGCTTTCCAGACAATTAGTGCAACTTCTTATTTCTGTTACAACTGGTGCTTTTGGCAACAAATTAGAATGTCTTGACTTTTTGGTTTCGAGATATTTGCACATGACTCCTACCGCTGGGAGCAATTGCTAACAACCATAGTCGAATACGGCGTCAAACGCTACACAAATGAAACCCGTCGCCTTTACGGTGTCCTTGATACCCACCTCGCCAAATCCACCTCTGGATATCTTGTAGGTGATAAATGTACCATCGCAGATATCGCACATGTATGTATCATTTGCCTTCAACCCACCCATACTCTCACTACATCATATCTAACATCAAAAGTGGGGCTGGGTCACAGCTGCTGGCTGGGCCGGAGTTGCAATCGACGACTTTCCCAACTTGAAAGCTTGGGATGATCGCATGCTTGCTCGTCCTGGTGTTGAGAAAGGAAGACATGTCCCTAGCCCCCATACGATCAAGGAGCTTCTCAAGGATAAGGAGGCGTCGGATGCTGCAGCTGCGAAGGCTAGGGAGTGGGTTCAATCTGGTATGGCTGCTGATGCTAAGAAGTGATTGATGATGGAGGGACGCGGAAGTGAATAAGTGAGAAGTGAATCATGGGTTCTTGACTTGCTACTGAATGAGCCTTTCTCAAAGTAACGTCTAATACGATGATTGTATTGCAACCCACTGACTGAACCTTTCCTGAATCTGTCAATCTACCCAGAATAGATTGGAATACCGTATTCTCTTTTGGTTACCTGTCTGGAGATCAACAGGATGAGGTACCTTGCTTATGATCTATTCAGTGACTTGTCATCGCATTTAGGACGAACCAATCCAATATTTATACATACTATTACCCTACTAACTTACAGCTTAATCACATCTCATAGAAACCTAATCACCTACACAATAACCGTACCCTTCCACCTCCATCTCCACCCACCCATCCTCAATATCCCAATCAGTCCCCCCTATTCAGTCACATGAATTACTCATTCCGACATACATAAAGTCAGAAATATAAATCTCTATACTGTAGCACCAGACTCACAACAACATCCACGACCACATACCTGAATATATCAACCTCCAGCGAGATCTTGATTCTTGACAACACCGGTTTGCGACGACGGTAAATCTTACTAAGCGCCGACAACATAAAATGACGAAAGAACCACAAAAAACGAAAGAAGGTGCTGTTGAAGAGTCAGAGGTTGAAGAGGAGCTTGCTATAGTTGGGAAAGAGGAAGGAGAGAGGAAGCTTACTTCGCCATTTGGGGAGGGATTGGAGAGTGCTGTGATGAAGGAGGAAGGAGAAGCAAATATGGAGGATAAGTTCAAATTGTATATTGTGGTGGAAGATTACATGATGGAAGACTTTCCTGCTCTCCCAGCAAGGGATACATCCATCACGCCAACTCCATCGCCAAATCCAAACCAGAGCACAATCCAAAGAGACACGACTCCTCCTCATCAAACTCCGGATAAATCTACCCCATCGATCCAGTCGATTCCACCACCCCCGTCAATCCCATTCCTCTCATACTCAAATACAACGCCATTTACATCCCCCTTCGGCTCCTTCCCCGAAGCTGGACCGGTTGCAGATGCGATGAGGGGACAAGTTACCTCTGCGGGTGGTGATGGTGAAAGTGACAGGGGGAATGGGAAGAGGAAGAGGACTTGGATGGAGTATAGAGATGGTGATGGTGATGATGGGCAGGAGGAGGAGGAAAGGGAAGAGCGAGACAGGGAGAAGAGGGAAGAGCGAGCGAGGAAGAAGAGGGAGGCGGTGCGGGAGAGAGTGCGAATAATGTGTGGGGGAAAAGGTTTGATGGGACAGAAGTTTGTTCGTAGATGATCATAAGTACTGATTTGGGGATTGTGGGTAAGGTTGAGGTTGAGGTTGATGTTATGAATTTGGGGGGATGGGGAGTTGTGAGTTTGGTGTTGAGATTTAATTTCGGGACGGGGATTGGGATGGGGGTTGTAGGTGTTGGGAATTAGACATAGATTGGTTGATTTTTTATTGGAATTTTGTTTTTAGAATGTTTAGATTTTTCTTTTACTATTATTCGAACACTTTTTTGTTGGTACCTTTGGTAATCGCTAGTATTTAGGATAAGCGTATACGTAGAGTATAAAAGAGATACTATACTACTGTACTCAACTCAACTCAAATAAAACAAATCCGCTAGTCATACAAAACTTAACTGTACTCTCAGTAACTCTGAGCAGTACTCGAGCTGTTGAGTAGTTTGTTTAAACGCTGGTTCCGAAAGCGTGACCATAATTACAGCGATCATATTCTAATTTCTTTGTAAAATGCGGCAGTCTATCTAGTGATTTATCCCCGCAATTTTATCCTACTTTTATAGCCTACTTTTATAGCCTATTAGCTTCGCAAACCTTCGTTGTTCTGTCTTGCGCCAGATTTGAACGCCAATCATCATTTCACATCTCATCTCAAATTACACCTAAAAGGCTAAAATTAACAGCCTGGGTCTATAAACCCACTAGAAGTAACGTTAACCTTACCCTAAAGGGACTTCGTATATCCAAAAGCCATTACTAACAACCAGTTAGTACTTTGCCCATACCAAAAATATTCATGAAAAGACTTACCAAAACCAAGAGCAATAGCAACAGTAGGCAAAACCCAAGGACTCTGCGCAAACTCAAATCCCTTAGTATTCGTCACCGTTGACGCCACGCCCGAAAGTAAAATTCCAGTGGAGAAGTAAACAGTGACCCGGAAGTAATCCCCCTTTGTCATGTGGGCACGACTAATGACGTTGAGAGTGTTCATTAGGATTAGCATTATTCCCGCGGCGACGAAGAAGTATACAAACTATTTTGACGTTAGGAGGTCATGCAAAGTAATTAGGTTGGACGGCTGATCGCCTTGGAGAGCAAAGGAAAGGGAAAACTAACAATGAACATGAAAGCCTCCAAATGTCTTTCCCACTCCTCCTTCGGATCAACAATCGTCATCTCCGACCCTGCGGGCGCAGGTGGTTCAATATTGAAACTGTTGAAGATGCTATCCTGAACAGTAGCGAAAAGAGTTTTCAATCCGTCAGTCTGCTCAGCAGAGCCAAAAGTCGCATTCCCAATCTTGTAGATCGCGTCTTGGGTTTCGGAGATGGTCGATGTGTAAATGGGAGGAAAATGCTCATAGATTTTAATGGTGGTTTCTACGATCACAGTTGAGAGACCGACGCTGGTGCGGTTGTTGGAAAGGTTGTATTCTTTGATGACCTCACTGTAGCTATCATTTATGCCTCTGTTCGGGTTTTGGTTAGATGGTTAGAGATGAGGGGGTGTTGGGACGTACTGGACAGCTTCCACCACTTTTCGCCAAATTATGAATTGGGAGGTTCCTTCAACTAAGAGGACCAGGGCGAGATGGAAGGGGAAGTGAAGGAATGCCCAGATTTCTTGACGGAGGAGATCGGCTCCTGTGAGCATTATCCAATCGAAATATATCATGTAGATAACATACTAGCCGGTAGTTAGTAGGGAAACGGAAATCAGGGAATTTAGGAAGTCTCATACCACTATTGTGACAGCTGCAACGATGGTACCAATGAGGGACATTGGCCAAGTCGGTTCAATTTCGACAATCTTTGGGCTCGTGAGTAAGTGCGTTTTCGATAATGAACTTTCTTTGGATTTCTTACAGTAGCAATACTTTTACAGATACCGATTACTCCCTCGCCGACTATTGGACTTGTTAGTATGTAGCGCTGGAATAGGGGTATATAGCTCACGAATTATCAAGGTAAGTAAACTCATTCGTTGTACCAAGTGAGATCCATGGAAGGTAAGAACTTTGAACTTGGAAGAAACTCCAATGTTAAAGGCTGTTTCGAGACCAGCAGTAATATACCATATGATATAGACCATGCTCTTCTGACCATCTTGTCGGAAGCCACTAGTGGTACCTTGTCAGCTTGAGTAGTGGATGATCGCAAGACAATACTCACAAGGTTGTTCCAAGATAAATCATTGCTGCGACGAAATTTGACCCCATCAGCATAGCCAGAGGTCCTTTAGACTTTTTGTAGTACCACACATGATACAGAACACTTCCGTATTGCAGGACAAGAACGAGTCTCGATAACATCAAGATTATAGCCAGCGAGCGAAAGGTTTTCACTCCTTGATTTTCGGGATCGAACCGTGGCCCAGTAGCCGCAAGTCCTATCATGACTCCAAACTGTGCCGCCTTGAAAATTCGTTCGATGATACTATCGGTGACCCACCGAACATCAAACAGACTAACCTGAAGCCATAAAAACCACAAAATACTGAAGAACCCGGCATAATTCTTGAGGTTGGTTGTACTGTTGATCTCGAGTACGTCGGTGAAAGTTGTCAGGTTTGCAATGAAGAACAAATCGTAGAAAAGTTCAATATTAGTGGATTCCTTATACCTCTTAAACTCGGGAGACTCGTGCAGATCTGTTTCCTGAATATCATCTTTGACATATTGGTAGTTGTCGAATTTTCGGTCGTCATAGATATTGTCCACGTCTGTACTGATGTACGACTTTCTAGCAACGAAAGCCAGAGGAGCAGAAATAACGACGGGTGAAGGAAGTTTGGTGCTTTCTTCATGTGCAGAACTCCTTTTCTCGTGGACTAGGGGACTCTCGAAAAACTTCAGTTTTGGTGGTTTCTCGTTTCCGGATGTGGTAGTTTGGGGCTTGGATGTGCTTGACCGCAGACTGTTCAACCTTTCACTTGTATTGGTGTGGGATCGTGAGGGCACGATTCTTGGAACAGTTTAGTACATAGATTTCGATACTCGAGAACAGACTCTGACTCACCTGCTATCATTTGACTTCATACTATTCGACCTGTCGCTCGAGTTGGTATAGGATCGTGAGGGTACAGTTCTTGGAACAAGTTAAGACAGAAATTTTGATACTTGAGGATAAAGCCTGACCAACCTGCTTCTGTCTGACTTAATACTATCGGACCTCATACCCGCCTTGGATGGAGAACTTGAAAGCCCGAACCTTGGAAAAGATTAGGATAGGACCATCTTTACTCGAAAACTGAGCTCGACTTACCTATTTCCATTCCCCGTGGCAGACATGGCTCAAGTCGCCAACAAACTCGCCAACAAACTCGCTAACAAGAACTCGATATTGAGTGCAATTACGTGGCGGAAATGAGAGAGAAAACGAAGATCAGATATGCTGCCAAGAGAAGTTCAAGACACATTGGGGATCTTGGCATTTATTGAAGAGTGGGCGCATGAATACTTTCATCTGATATCTGGTTCATCGTGTCTGTGCTAGTTTTGGGACACAAAGCCTTTCACAACCACCCGGCGACAAAAAATCATGTGCAAAAGTTTTGTCCAAGATTTTGCCGACCAGCGGAATATCTCCTCCGATCATAGCTAGCAAGCGTTTAACATGGTTCAAAAAACTTGGCCCTTTATGCTATGAGTGAGGAATCTCAGAAGATCGGGAATTTGAGCCGCGATTGATTGCCACAAGGCCCTCAAGGCAGTGATATAGTCGTACTGCAATCTTGCTACATCATGATGTAAAAGATATCACTGTAAAACAATTACTTGATTGTTTGATGAACTCGTCGTTACAGTTTGGTCACGGCTTAACAAACTGAGTAGTGAGGGATCAGTGAGGGATCAATGTTTTCCCGCAATGTCAAACAACGCCCACCAGGAATGGTCAATGTATCCGCCGCGCACATGCGTTGGGTTCGAGACCAACTCTCACTCTGAAACAAGCCACCACGACATCAATATCCGTTTCGAAAACCCAGCCGCAAAAGCCACTTCTGGACAATTCTGCTGATCATAGAGTTGGGTTGCAATCTACAAACCTCGCTGTACAACTGCAAATTATCTGTGAGTCTGTGGATACTGTACAATAGTTAATTTCTGAATTATCGGATCAAAGTGGAGACTGTGAGACGGGAAATGACTGCTAAACAGCACACACTGAATCCAAGAGCAATATTTACAGTAACTTGCTCCCTTTTTTAATTCGTCAATTTGAAACTGATCTCTACCCTTGATTCCAGTCTCTAGGCTTGCGTTCCAATGGAGAAAATAAGTGACGCTTGGTTTTCACTGAAAGCCAAAACCAGCCCCCGAATGTCGATGCCCTAATTCAACTTGAAATGATCACGATTTAACACACCCTCAAGGGTTGAAAACCCGCCAGAATGATTGGCGATTTGCTATTCAAAAAGCCAGGTTGGTACTTGACCTTTCTGCATCCAAGTGCTGAAAGTCCCGATTGCGTTGTTTCCGGAAAAGCCGTATTCCAGATGAAGAGCTGGTGTATTAATGTTTCATTAAGATCCTCGGCCCTCTGAGGCCTAATATTTAGCAGAAAATTCCGATGAATAGACTGTATTGTAGGTGAAATAACCTTTTATATATTGAAGCTCAGTCTTTGAAGATTAGTCCATTTAAACCTCGTCTAGAAACCACACAAGGGGCCTGTATACTTTAAAGTTTTATGGCTGAGGACCTTGAGCACTTGGTATATGTGCAAAGCCGTGGGATCCTGGATTGTTCGTATTATGGCTTGGTCCTTGAGTTCATTGGCTGTCTTCGTTACATTCAGTGACGAGCAAGATTCAGATGCCGTCGGTATTCGTAGTTTCCACACCATAGACAGACGAGTAAAAATTGCAACTTTGATTAGAGTAACGCTCCACTCCTACTATGTATAACACTTTTCTCGTGAAATTGAATCGGTTCGCCAACTAAGCCGCGTTTTCAAGCATTTGAGAATTTGAGCCTCAAATTAACCCAGTTATCACGCCCAATTTCATCTACTTCAATGGCAGGTTTGAGGTTCGTGTGTTCCTGGCGTGAAAAGGGTACCCTTTTCATGGATATGGTTTTCCCGACAGTGTTCTGATTTACGAGTAAGGTCATCATCGTTTTTGTTCGCTAGATCTACGTACACGTCTTATCCAATCCGTTTTTCGTGGCGGGCCGACCAATTCGAAACCACCTACTTTAGTACCTCAGGGCTCGGATAACGCTTATGTGGCAAACTAAAATCCGAAATGTCCGTTATCTTCCGCCATCTTGAAACAGTGACCAAAACCTGGGGAGCTCGGTCGATCGAAATAGCGAATCTTCTTAAATCTCGATATCATTGTTTAGTGCATTAATAATCTCGTCGCTATCTCATACATCAAGCGCATTTCCAATATCTCATTTGGAATGATGTTAATACGATCTTGCCTAGCAGTCGAGCGTATTCTTCCTGATTTGTACCACTCAATGAATGTACTAGTGCTGTACAGAAACCTATCCTGCAAGACACCGTACCGAATTCAAAACGGCATTGATACAATTCACCTGAGGTTCTCAACCGCATTTCTAACTATCCTCATTGTCTATTGTGTTTAGGCAAGCATGAATTGCGTGACATACCACCGAGGATCCAGAGGCTTACTTGCTGGCACTTAGAGAGCTACGGGATATATGGCATGTGACGTTTGGAAATTTGGTAGGTTGGTCACAGGTCTTGATTGAGAGATGGGCTCTCTGGATACACGTATGCGTACTGTTGAACCAAAGCAGATTCATTGCTGGAACTTCGAATAGAATATATTCAACCTTCTCCTAGGAGTCTAGAGCATGTCTAAATACTTCACCCATAGAATAATGGACATATCGTTAACAAAGTAAGTTCCCAAATTGAATATTCACATTTATGGAGAGGATCATTATAGATCTCATGAAATAAAACAGGTCTCTGAGTAAAATTCAGGGTCTAAGACCATATTTAGATGGCCTTACTCCTCTTGTGGTGGTACTTAATGTGTCACGTGCGTGGAGGAGATGTTGTTTTGCCAAGCCCAGCGGGCACATTAAGCGAGAGCAAAAATTTCGCTCCGTAGAGCCCCACAATTTGTTAAGCGTGAATATTGAGGGGCATCATCTGAATGCGGGATTCCCACGGCCTCACATTCAAGAAGGGCAGGGCAACTAAGACCGTTTTCGTAATAGTGGCTTATTCCTTCGTAGGAATAAGATATTCGCGAATTAATCCTCGCTTAGCAAAATTCTTTAAGTGAGACGCCGATGGCCACCACGATGGAGGGGACCAAAAAAGGAAGAACACGAATACTATAAAAGATGATTATTATCGTATCCTTGTGAATCATCTGGTATATTCGGAGCGCGATGTTTTTGAAGCGACCAACCAACTCATTGTGTCGTCGTGGGCGACACTTTCAATCGTGGCCTCGCGTGAATATCAAGCAAGCGATAACGGTATTGGAGTCATGAAGGTGATGTCATAAAAATGAATGTATGTAGTCGTCGACATAGGACGCTAAGCCCAAAAAAACCTTTGTTTCACGTCGCAACTCTCAGGGACGTTGGAGCGGCCCAATGAGAAGATGTCGCTTATCAGCCAAATCTGGCGCTCGTGGTGGAGAGGATTCATTCACTCTACGATTACAGGGACTCCACGTGGCTTCCAATATCATGATGATATCTGCGTTTATGGCAGAATCAGACATCCGAACTCGAGACTCTGCAGGAGGCGCTATCAACCACAGACAGCAGCCCCACCAAGTAAGATGTAGGTACTCGCAGAACAGCTTAATGACAGCTTGATGATAACGCTTCAACAGAAATCCTCGAGCCCAAACTTGCAAGACGTGTTGAAGCTCTATCCTCTTACGGTAATATGTGACTCAAATTAATCAGTATTGCCTGCCATTATTCACACCTATGCATATTTTGGCACCGTCTGGAAATACGCTAAATGATTAGCGAATGCGAAATGAGTCAATAGCTGCACTCACTCTAAGAGCGGTACCCAGTATGTTTTGGAGTTGAGAGCAGCACGTATATTTGCAGTTCAAAAGAATTTCCCTGCAGCAAGCATACTATGACTTTAGAGCTTTCGGGTGGATAAAACTTAAGTGGTGTTACGAATTTATCACTCATATATGTTTCCATATTGCTTGCAAGTGTTTGGGGTTGATATCAACCGAGTGCATGTGCTTGTTGACTTATAGTATCCTTAACAGAGAAGGAGAATCAACCTCTTTGATTCAGGCGTTTGATATCCAGAGTACAAGATTTGCTTTGGCCTGCGAGGTCATTGAAGTTTGGGTCACAAGTCTTTTGATTGACCTAAAGGATCTTGAATCATCTTAGGCCAATATGTACTCATTATTAGTCCCATTCTCTCTTAACGATAAGCATATTGTGAGCTAGATGTGTAATATCACATATCTCTCTTCTATAATATTCTTGTTTTGCCTCTTATGTACGACAATAAAGCCATTATAGGTGACGCTTAGCTATCGCTGGCTGTTTCAACATGGGAAACAACTAGAAGGATTTCTATTTTGTGGCAGAACTTTCCATTTCAGTATTAGTGACTCAGTCTTAGACAATATGTGAAATGAGATTCTGCGCTCAAAGATTCACAATTAATCCTTAGCTACAACAAGAATCCATTTCTTCCTTTCTATCAGGCGCAAACGAAGCTTCCTATGCTACAAAACACTTCCATTCACGGTATAGCCTGTCACATATTTTACCTTCCCCATAGCTCTGTTAGCCACGTTAATCACTCAATATCCATGAGAATTTGTATAAAGCAGAACCACTTGAACCTTTTGACCTTCTCCTCTACAATATCTTCTCAACTGAAACTAATCTTCCATCTACAACTTCCTAACCGACATTTATCACCAACAAAAGACTTGCAACACAAACCTTAAGAATTTCATCCCCTTGTCACCCTTATCGCCAACAAGATACGCTGCACTTGCATTCACCTATATTCCCCCCACTACGATAAAGATGTCCCAACATAGACAACAGAATAAGAAGTCTAGAAAGCCAAGAACCAATAAAAGTCTAGCAACGCCACCCAACTTTAGCGCGCAATGCCATTTTACCCAGTATAACTTCAAATGTAAACATCATACTTGGCTGGAGAATCCCAAAATCACCCACGTGCCACCCTGCAAATGCAAACAACACAAGAACCTCTGTGGGAATATGGCGAAGGCTAACAAGGAAGTGTGGTTTGATGAGATGTGTGAGAGCTGCCAGTCACTCGTTCCAGTGTCAGAACCAAATTCAAGTTCAGGTTTGGGTCTTGGACTTGATTCCAAGCTACCCATGGCGCAAGCTGTACGCAAGCGTATTCTCGAACTTGAACACGAGCAGGAGCAGAACGCTAAAACTCCTCAGAATGCAATAGCCACAACGTTATCGCCCCCTTTAAATCCGGCATTGGGACCAGAACCTTTGACGTTGACCAGCAACTGGGGACTTGATGAACCTCCCATCCCTCGAACGACCACAGATCCGAAAATCCAACCTACAGAAAGGGCAGATTCGAAGAGTAGTACCGAACAAAAGACGGTCAGTAATAACCAAACTACTACCAACCCCAAGTCTACTACTCAAAATAACGATGCACATGCGAAGCCCTCGCCAAAATCATCCGATATCGATTTCGACGACGACGATTCCGATGACGATGAAGAACAATTTCGGATAGGCAAAGACCGGGTGCAGTGGCTTTCTATGCCTGTGGAAAAGAATGGCGAAGGCTCAGCAGATAAGGAGCCAGGCATCATTGGGAAGGTTTACAATACTCTTCGTTGGAAATCTACACCAAAGTTCGTGTTGAAGGAGCCTGAACCTAAGCCCCAAGCAACGGATGAAGCGAAGGAGGATTCGGACTCAGACATGCCATGGGAGGATCATGGGGAATGGGTGCACGTTACAGAGAACGTAGAGGAGAATTGAGGATATTGCAAATTGTGTTAGTTCGAGACTGGGTAATGAGATTGTTAAGTCAAGGAATACTTCGTATCGACCAGAAAGAAAGGTACTGAAATTGGGAATTAGGCTGGGTTATACAGTATCTGGATAGGTTAATGATCAATGTCTTACATCATCTATTAACAACCTAGTTCATATATTGTGAGATATGCAACTCGTTTAGTATATATCGAACTTTGAAGCTCGACCTCGCTTATTCACCCTTGCCAAGCCCTTTCGCGATATCCTTTCGGATGATATAACCGATTAACTTGAAAAAGAATTGAACTTGTTTATAGTGGTTTGGCATGCTTTATGAGAACCTTGGGTGGAGACAATGACTCTTCGCGAAAGTCTCCCTATGCAAGATTAACCACAAAGGCTTCTTTGCATTGTATGGTCAGGATGTCCCGAGAAGGCCGTCAATTCACTGTCAATAGCGAGCTTCGGGAAGTTTAATGCCGGGTTAGCGTGCTTGCCCCGCTTCCCGACTTAATACCACGAGGTCCCGTCTTGATTTCAGCACGATCTACCCCCAAACAACCACCACCTCAACACATTTACTGTTGCCCCATCACTTCAATATCATTTCCATCCCCCATCAAGGTATGTTTCCGTTGGACCCTCTGATCATCAAACTGTATGCAAAATATAAGATCAAAGATACTAATAACTGTGCAGACAGTCACTAGCTTACGAGGCATATCGGCATGGCGGGCAAAGGAGATGCAGGTCCAACCCACATCGAGGGTATACCTTCAACACCCGCTGCTACTACTCGCTCTCGATACAGACCCCAAATGTCAGATAACATAGGCAAGCCCTTAGAGCTATGCGGAAACACAATCTTTGGTATGTCCAATTCACCCCTCTGTTCGAAAGTGTTGATCTGAGTACTTCTCACGTCCACCTCTTTGAGATTTTGCATTCATTGTCTTGAGGCGAAAAAATGGAGATATACAATTTCACATCCAAATACTCAAATAAATGCCCTTGGAATTACCCACTAATATCTTCAAAGGGTACAAATGCGGTCACAAGCAAGCCTCCTCAGATGGCATCACTCATTCCTCTGATTGTCCTGGTGTTCCGTTACGAGAGTGGTTCTGCGCGAACATGAATCCATCCGGAAATCTCGTCGTACAAAACGATCGAGTCTGTCCCCGATGCTTCTTTGGCCAAGGATTTCAACTTACTGCGGGCCATCAACAAGACTTGAGCACGGAGAAACACCCCACTCAACGTAATAATATGGGAGTCACCGATCAACAGCCAAAGACGGGGTCCTTTGTCAAAGCAGAGAATGCACCTGCACTTGCTGGTCAATATAATCCTGGAATCCCCGGTAGCAGCAATGGCTGTAGCCGTGACGTTCATCAGTACCCCGTAGCGAATCCACATGACTCATTACATTCTTATGTCACTCATAAGGATCTGGGAAGAATTGATCCGACTTTTCGTAACTTCCTGACATACAGATCGACCTCAGCATCAAATGCGAACGATGAAAAGTTTCTCGACATGACTGACCTATACTCTCACATCTCAAATGCAAATCCTTCCGCGCTTCCTCCTGCTGAAGTTGTTTACGGACATCCTCACCCTGAGCAAGTCTCTGTGCTTAGCATCTTTCCTCCTTTCCCGGGCGATAACCAAGCAGGTACCAAGAATTATTCACGTCCCTTCCAGGTTGCGCCTGGTCAGTATAATCATGGGTGCAACTCGTCTGCGCTGACACATGGTGAATCTTTTATTGTTCCGTCGTCGTACCAGCAGGCAGGCTTCCCCCCTCAAATCACACCACCTACCAACTCTGAAGCTTCGACCAAATCCAACAACCCAAAATTCAAGGTAAAGCTTCCACCACAAACCTGTGTCTCGCCCCAGGCATGGTTTGGCAGAAAGGGACAACCTTGGGACCGAAAAGAGGAGGGAATAATTTTTGAGACCCCGAAGCAAGTCGAGTCCACTTCTAAGGAAGCCGAAGTACTCTCTCAAGACATCGAAGCCAGCTGGGTTACCGTACCACGAGACCTTCGTCAAGACAAACTAAAGGACTACCTCAAGAGCCACAAGCTCCCAAAAAGTCTCGCACATCTTTATGAGAGTGTCGTTTTCTCCGAAAGTCAGGTTCTTTTGAAGCATGGCAGTGCCTTGGATTCCGCTCTAAAACAAGCCGGGTATCAATGGCCGGGTACCTATAGTGAGGAACAAAATCCCACAACTTCTGCTCGTGTCCAGAATGAGAAGGTTTCTTTGGTGCCACTTAATTCGCCGCAAGCTGCTAAGATCGAACGACCCTTTCCACCACGCACATCTTCTCTTCCTATTCGTACAAAAGAAATCAGACCTTCTGAGGGCATCTTCAAGCCAAACAATAACACCCGCCAATGGTCGGAGCAAGGCAGATCAAGACTTCAGGCAGCATCCAATCACTCTGGAGAGAAGAGATCTCGCGCTCAAGCTCCAGAATTCCAGCGATCTGTCGAGACTTTTCAGTTCGAGGCAATGCACCACAGACAAGAGCGATTATTAAAGGAGCTAGAACGCTCGCGACAGGAGACCAGCCGAAACGAACGAATCCTCGCTCGAGAGAAGTTCGCAAAACAATTACGCAACGAGAGACTTAGCCGTCAATCGAATGACTTACAGAACTCTGCGGCTGTTAAAAATGTGAACACGTCGAATTCCAAGGTTCTTCGTCCTTGGAGAACGACTTCGAATGAGAAGGGTATTCTTAATGCTCCTGCTGCTTCTGATGAGACGCATCCAGTTAAGATCACCCCCACAAATCCTTCGATTAATACTATCTCGACCCCCCAGCACAATGCAACACCTTCTGTACACACTACACCACGTCATGGAAACACTGCCCTAAACTTGGCCGAGAGATTCCCTTCGCTTATACCTAAGCCGGAATCCGTTGTTGCTGAAGTGACTTCGTCGACCGAGAATACTCCCCAGGAGGTGATCTTGGCGGGAGATAGAGCAGATGGAGAGCGCAGTCACGAGGAAGAGGTTGGACACAAGGATACCGAGTCTCGATCTCTCAGGACTGGCGAAGATAACGAAGACGATGACTGGGAGATGATTCCTATTGAAGATGAGGATATCTAAGAGCTTGGATAGGTGGAAACGATGGTGACATAAGATGGGACCAGATTGTATTTCTGATGATGATAGGGGAGTTTTGACTTGGAGGATGAGGCACGGATCTGGATTTGAGGTGCTAGGAGCACATCAGGTATGGATCAAGCGGAGGACATTTCGCAAAAGCTTCTTTTCTTTATTTCTTTCCTACTTTTCACATTTCTCCACTCTGTCGATAGCTCCTTATATCTCGAGGATACGTTATCGTATCTGGGATAAACGGGTATCAGGGCAAAATTTTACAGCACAGTATCACCACCAAGAAAAGAACCCCGCGGACAGACAAGAGACAGACAAGACAGAGACCAGAATTAGGGCAGAGAATGAACACTGCGCTATGAACCGGGAGGCTTGGATGGTCATTGTTAATGAGGACTTATGTTTCTCTTCTCTGTCTTTTATTTTCATTGCAACAGTCTCAGAAAATATTGTACCGAAAACTACAAAAAAGAATGAAAATTACCATAAGTCCAAATGCAAATAACCTTTTTTCCCCGGAAAATTGATAGTGAGTGATGCAATCTTACGTTTTTCGAGTTAAAATAACGATCAGGAGCGGGTTAAATCAACTGTTTGGTATATGAGAGGCGAGCATTGCTCTCTACACGATATTCAAAGTCATTATGTCAAAACTCTAGTACAAGTAACTTGATTGTCCTATTTCACCTGGTACAATAGGAATTGAAAAGTAATGATTGTTCTGAACTAACTTTTTCGTATAATCAAATTAGTTGTACAAGGTCTAGGATAATATTTTATAACTCAGGTGTGTACAGAGTAATGCCCGCCTCTCTTACCGCTTAGCTAACAGAAAATGCAGTCAAAAATCGATCAGCGAAGCATACTATCAGACCTGAGCTATCGGTTTATTACATCTTTACTGGATATTTCATGAGTCAAAACCAGTAAAACCTATGCACGGGGAAGGGGTTTCTTCAGTTTCATTTAGATAATCATTCATGTATCTCTTTTTTGGGACGCCCGAGTGTGACCCAAATGACCGGAACATATTTTCCAATTTTCTTCAAGGCAACTACTGTACCGTACAGAAGCTTCCATTTACAAACACATAATATCGCTTACAGAATGATATTATTCATAGTCCGGAAACAATCCGAAGAACTTGATCCAGGCAAGTGAAACTCTGCTATATAAACGAGTGTAGTTAATCATATGACATAGCGTGACCCTATTTCCCTGACCAATGGTCGGTCACCAAACATACTCTCCATACCCTTGGCCTATTTTGCATCAACTTCCACCGAATCACCAAAACACATTGACAAGTGAGCCTCTGGATAACGGGCCCCCTTTGCACCACCCACACTATCTATGGCAGCGCGAATATTTTGCTCCTCTTCTCTGGATAACTCCAGATAAGCAGCTTCCGGATTTTCCTCCAAATATCTGACATGTTTTGTCCCTGGAATAGGAATGAAATCTGTACTCGATTAGCATATGTTCAATTTCTTCACAAAGAGTTGAAATAGAGCATATTTCATCATTCATCGGGTAAAACTGACCATCACCTTGAGCCAAAACCCATGCTAAACCTAACTGCCCCACAGACCTCCCTTTCTCCTTCGCTATTCCCTCGATCACCTCCACGATTCTCAAGTTTCCATCGAAACTCTCCTCCGAAAACCTCGGAAAGAATCTTCTTGAGTCTTTCTCATCCAAATCTTCTCTCTTTCTCAAGCTTTCAGTCATGAAACCCCTTCCAAGAGGCGAATATGCAATAATCTTCGTCCCCAACTCCCTCGCCGCACTCAACAACCCAATTTTAGCATCCTCAATCTCCAGAGCAAATGGAGAGAACTCCACCTCAACAGCAGCCATATAATGAATCTTGCTAGCTCTTCTCAAGGTGGTGGCAGAGCACTCTGATAATCCCAGATATTTGATCTTACCCTCATTCTTCAGTTCAACCATGGCACGTATCGTCTCCTCAATCGGTGTATCAGGATCGACTCGATGTTGGGAATACATATCAACGCTTTGTACCCCTAAGCGTTGCAAACTTGCTTCGCATGCTGCCCGCACGTGTTCGCGTTTGGAGTTCAATTTGTACCCTTCGTTGGTAACTTCAATGCCGAATTTTGTGGTAAGGAATATTGAGTTGCGTCGACCGGTTGAGGCAAGCCATCTTCCAAACATCGATTCGATTTCAAAGGGACCGTAACTGTTGGAAGTTACCCAAAAGTTGATTCCTTTGTTGGCTGCTGCGGTGAGGACGGCGAAATTTTCTTCGTCGGTTGGGGGGCCATGGGAGCGGGCCATTGACATTCCCATGCAGCCTAGACCTAAAGAAGAGACTAGGGTGTCGCCAATTTTACGTTGAGGAAATTTGGAAGACATTTTAGGACGGTTCAGTAGTGATATTGACCGATTTTTGATGGCGATGTTATATATAGTTTGTTGTTTGGATTCGCGAACTTATATACCCCATCCACCATTCTCAAGAATGAACGGCCAAATTACAGGATTATGGACTTTGAAGTTAAATCCGGCATCAAAGGACTTCATTAAATCATTTGCCTATGTTGGTAACCCATATGCCAATCACGGCCCCGGTATTTTGGTGGAGCACATCTCTATGTTCCCTGCTCCAATATTGCATTGATCATGATCACATAAAGAATTCCTACCCCTAGTCGACCACTCATTGACCTCATAGATTGGACTTTATAATAGCAACTGAATACTCGATTTTTTTCCCTTGCCCTTCTTTAATTCTGAAATGTGGATCGACTGCTTTTCAACAACACCAAAATAACTTGTACAAGTACCGAGTCTGTTGGGCTGCTGCCAAAGAAGTCCATGTAGAAATATTGGGTTCTCAAATCCTCTTAACTCCACCACTTGCTCGTACCCGCCATTCAAGCCACTTGCCGAATGTGGAAATACCCACGAGGTGAAAACAAATTGTTAGAGCCTCTGCTTCCGATGCATCGGATTCCCGTGAGCCGAAGATGAGATAAACATTGCACAATTTGAACGGCCCAGCGCAAGATGTAGATGCAAAACCGTGATCTTCTTGAAGATCATCCGAGTTTCAATGTTGGTCCATTCTTGCATACAAAAACAACCACGTGACCGGATGGGTAGGATGGATGGCTTCCCAGTGTCAATCTAATATGGGCTCCTGATTTACATCACAGTTGGATCGTTAGACCCAGATATCATTGGCTCCCTTTGATGTATAGTTTTTGTTCTTCGGGAATGTTTTTCTGACTACAATATATTTGGCTGCTTGATGCCTTGTTCCAAAAAGACTCTCCATTTTCCTAGCTCTCAGACTCGGCGATCTTCTTCAGATGAACTTACTACCATATACCGGATATTGATTATCCAAAGATGAAAGCATCGGTATTCTGATAATTCTTTGGGAACGAGCATTCAATCGACTAATCAACAACTTTCTGGCGTAATTCTCTTCATCGGAGAATTTGTACATGCAAACCATCACAATTGTACAACACTCTCCTGATAACGAAGCACAAACAAAAAACGCGTCCAAACACAACAAACGCGACATGGATCTATCATTACCGAAAAAGTTTACCAAAAATCTCTCCGGCTTCCCTCAACTCCGACCCAACGGAGCTCTCTTGTACTTCAGCTCTCATGAACGCCTTATAGATATATACCTCTTCGTTGTAATCTAGACGAGACGGAGAGGAAATGCTGTCATCAAATTTCTCGTTGTCATACCCAAGTGGTAGATCGGTTGCACGATATCAAGTTTTTGTTACCCGCCACTTACGCAGGTACGTTGCTGCTTTTCTGCGGTGGAACAGTACTGAACGGAATATCGGAATATCCTCTGCACTTGGTGAGACGGAGAAAATGGCTAAACTGGTAAAAAAGATTTCTTCCGAAGCTGGTGAGCGGCTTGAAGGTAAGTGTGAGATGTTTTCTATTTCTGTTTGGGTTTGATGCTGTATCTTGAAAAGTGATTGAAACAACATTGAAAATGGCCTTCAGGCAATTCATTGAACCCTGGGATACACCTCAACTAGATTCTATCTTGGCAAATTGCAAGAAGAAGCAAGATACAAATTAAACTACTGAGGAATTGGTTACTTCTTTCTATCGGCGTGTATATATAGATGGTCCTCCCGACAAGCTGGCAGATTGCCTGACTCGGCGACCTGTACATCAGAGTCTCGAGAAAACACGAGACTGATCTCTATATAATAGTATAGCTCTTCTCGATAATAGGACTACTGTAGGCATTGGAAAGGAAAAAGAAATTCTCGCGTTGATATGTGACAAACTCAAAGTTCCTTAAAGTCTCAATACTATAGTCATATCCGGGGATATTGTAAACACACCTCTGTGCACGGGCGCTGTCAAAATTCGGAAAAGAGTGAAGCGAAAATCGAATGTGACTGCTTTTGTTAACAACTAGAGGACTTTGAAGCCCAGGCGTGAAAGTTGCAAGATAAAAATATATCTTTCCGGGTAAACTCGTGGAAATCCAACTGGGGTCTAATCTTGCTTAAATTAACTAATGGAGAACCCTAATATTTGCCTGGATATAGATTCATGGGGTAGACAAGTCGTAATGATGATCACGTTTATTGATCTCTCCGTGACACGAATGAAGCACAAGACCTCTCTCTCTTCCTCTTAGTACAACTTAGTACACGTCCAACTTCATACCCAAGATCTCTGGGACTATCTTCGTATTCCTCGGAAGATAAATTCCGAGCGCACGAATCCATGGGCACCATTTCAAGCAAGTGAGGAACAAAATGGGATATCAGTTACCAAAAAATAACACATCGATTCTGGGTTATCATTTTCTCTTTGAGACCAATCTAGACACTCAGGTAGATTCTGGAAGTTCCAACAGCCGTCATTAGACCCATCCAACAATGCTCAGCCTGAGAGTTTTAATCTTTCATTCCACTTTGAGCTCCACTTAAAACGTGGTTTACGTATGACGATCATGAATTCCGAGCAAGAAATCTGAGACCTAGAAGGCCTCTTTTGGTATCCATCTAGCCGAATGAATACAATTTAGTCACTTTGTAATTCTCTCGTCCACAGTCTCGGATTATGATCGACATATTTCGTGCAGTCAAAGAGTGATTTCGCCACGATACTGACGATGAGGACACCAATTGAGTGAGCGTCTTCAGCAAGCTTTGTACAAATCCGGTTGGTGGTCGCCGATGATGATATATCATGTACGATTATCTTGAAGCACAACGGTGATATACTCGGATAAATGGTATAATGACCAGTCTTTGTTTGGAATATATAATCTGACTCCCCGCAAAATAATTTGGTTGGAAAGCAGCAAGCTTAGGGTGAAGAAACAGCTTTCTCAAACGTCAAGACCAACTTCGAGACCAAAAAGAGAAGAAGTATGACACCGAAAGGTCTGAGCTTCGTGCTCGCGGCTGCTTTGCCGTTGGCAATAGCATCGCCCATTGCTGTAAGTTTTAAAGAATCCACTACCCAAGTTTCAAAGATTATACTGACTTCAGACAGAAACCGTACGGACCGTATAAATACTCTACAACTCTACCAATTGTCGGGGGTCTTCCTGCTCTTCCCGTTCCAGCCACTCCTCCAGCATTACCTCCCATCTTGCCTACAGTGACAATAGGGGGGGCAGACGGCGTCACTCTCCCAGCACCAGGTCTTCCATCCTTGCCTGTGAGCGTGCCTTCACCAAATGGCTTGCTAACCTACGGCGGACTTCGCCCAGTCCCAACAATAACAGTTGGAGGATCCGATGGTTCATTCACTTCGCTCCCAGTCGTCAAACCACTTCCAAGTCTCACATCAACGACTACCATCATCGTGACCGTCTATCCTACATTACCCGCTGCGACCATTCCGGATATTCCTGTTCCTCTTACAACAATTACATCTCTCGTGACGATCACTTTACCGAGACCCCCTATTTCCGTAGGAGGAGCCGATGGAGTCACCTTTCCCGCACCACCGTTGCCGACTCCTCCTACTGTAAAACCTCCACCTCCGGCTACTTATGGAAGTCTACCGCCACCTCCACCTCCACCATCATTACCTCAATTACCACCAAATGTTGTAGGTGGTGGTGGCATATTAGGTGGATTACTCGGAAATACAGGCGGCCATATCACCCCACCGGGTACGACGGTTCCCAAAATTGGAGGAGGTGGTTTCATCGGTACTCCCAATCCCCCAAGTCCCCCCAATGGCGGAGCGTATGGAGGCCACAGTTCAGGTGGCGGAAACTCGGGTGGGAACAGCGAAATCTGTGATGATCCATTCTTCGCTGAAGCTTCACCACTTCTCAAGCAGTTATGTTCTGGATCTGGATCTACCACAAGTGGTTCGAGTGCCACAAGCAACCCTCCCCCTCTCATTTCATCTTCTCCAGCAGGATATAACCCGCAATACAAGCGAGACATAGACTCATCCTCAATCGCTAAAGAGGATCCAGAGTCGAAAGGTCCACCAAGAACACCACAAGGTCTCCTCCTCCAAAAGATCATGGAGAAATGTGTGAGTGAACTTGGAGATACAAAAGGTCTCGCACTCTGTCCTAGAGCTCTGAATTTCATCCCTCAATCTTCGCTTCCTGGAGATGGGAAATTGTCGGATGAGATAATAGACGCTCTCATCCAACGCGGTCTCACGATGGCCGAGGAAGGTGACAACGTCCCTGCCTCCAAAAGGGGATTAGGTGCCCCAGGTCAACTTCTTTCTGGTGTCTCACTAGATGAAGGACTGGGTGGAGGAGACTTGTCTCCCGAGCAAATCGAAGGAATTCTCGCCGCCGCAATAGGTAAGGCTGGTCTTCCTCTAAACGGCCTCCCTCTCAACGGTCTCCCTCTGAACGGTCTCCCTCTGAACGGTCTCCCCCTCAACGGACTTCCCCTCAAAGAAAGAGGCGTCCTAACAACCCCAGAACCCAACACCATCCTCGCAGCCTGCGAAAAAGCCTTCACCCAAGCCCAAGCCCAATCCACCACCCCCAAACTAGACAGTACCCAAATCTGCAAAGCCATCCTCTCCTACATCCCCAAAACCACACTCCCCACAAGCGGCAGCATCTCACCCGAAGACCTAAAAAAGATCATCGAATCCGTGCTTAGCAGCCACGGACTCGCAAAGAGACAACACTACCAATTCGGTTCCGGTGGGCCTTCTGAATCGTCCGGGAATGCTGGTCTGCCTTCAACACCAAGCACACCAAGTAACCCACAGTATGGAAATGGAGGAGGAAGCACAAGTGGAAATGGTGGTTCTTCTTTACCACCGCCCCCACCGATTGCACCGCCCAAACCACCAGTTCAACCACCTAGTAACCCGCCTTATGTACCAACATCATCTGATCCCTCGCCGCCTGCTACCGCTTTGCCGAATGGAGGGGATCTTCGTAAGTACCTTTTTTCATTATACTTTTCACCTCACCCAGAGAGCGACCATGTCGCAAGCAAGAGGATATCAAAATCCCTCTCTCACTTCCTCACTCGCAAAATACCCTTCTTCCTCTCCTCTACCTACCCAATACCCACCCCCACTCCCAACTCCCCTGCCCCTCCCCAAAACATCATCCATCTAACACCCCCCAGAATCATCAATAGCATCCAGCATCGCCGCCGGCCTCGCCCACGCACTCGGTCCCAACGGTTCCTTCAACCCCGGGACCTTTTTCGGTGACGGAAACAAGGGTGGCTCTGGCACTGGCTCAAATAGTAATGGTAACGGGAAGGGTGGATATTACTAACTTTTTCTTTCTTTCTTTCTTTCTTTCTTTCTTTCTCTCTTTTTTCTTATATTGAGTTATAGATTGGTGATGGTGGTGAGGTGGTGAGGTAGTAGGGGAGGGAAAGGAGAGGATTTGGGGGGGGATTGGGGAGTGTGAATTTCTTTTGTTTGATTTTAGATAGAAATTTGTTTTGTAATTTTCTCATGTACTGTACTCCGTATGGAAAGTTTTGAATTCTGTGCACGTGGTAATTAATTCTTAAGTCTGAGTTAGGGTAGTAGGGTAGTTATATATTTCTTTCTGAATTCTCATACTTGGCTTCATATATCACGCATGTGAGATATAGAGATGGATAGGGATCTGAGCGCACACGAGGAGTATATAAGAAGGCTCTGCCTCCTACTTAACTCCTTATGCCTTTTATACTTTTAGACTCTCTTTTTTAGTTCTACTTATCGTTTAGAAAAAGCTTGTAGAATTACTAATTTAGTACTTATTAGTTTATAAGTATAGTAGTTTCTATAATCCGAGACATAATAAGCCCTAGATTAACCCTTTTATTTCGAGGAACTTAGCCTTAGTAGTAAAAGTAAATAACGTCTTATCTTAGAAAAAGAAGTTCTTTTAAATAGCTACTACCCTTAAGTTAACTTATTTACTATAATATTATTTTCTTATATATTTATAGAAGTTATATATATTTATTTACTTATTAGGAAAATATTTTTAAGTAAATATACTAATATAGTAACAAAATAAAAACTTTCTACTATATAAATATTTTCCTTACGTTAAAATAAGTCATAACTTAGTTAATTACTCTAAGTTAAGTATTAATAGCTAGTATAGTTTACCCGGCGCCCTAAGCGTATAGTAACTATATAGTAAAAGGGGCTAGCGGCTAGGCCGAGGTCCTACTAAGTACTAACTCTAAAGTATTACCTTAATACTATAAGTATTATTACTAGTACCTACTAAGATAGTATATATTTGTCACGAATCACGTGTTAGCACGTGAAGGGTTAATCCAGACGGAGTTCTGACAAGACAAACACATCTCGAATTAGTTATAACATGTTGGAGTGGTTACTCAGACTAGCTGAGTATCCAAGGATTTCATTGAGTTTGTTATCACGTGATTGGATCAGTCGGATCAACAGGATCATTGAGTGATCCAAGTGATCCAGGAGATCCAGAGGAACGGATCAGTAGGATCAGTGAATTGTTATCGTGATCCATATGATCCAGGAGAACGAAGTTTCTATATAAGACTGGCACGTCTGCCATTAGATAGGAGCTTCGTGCTCAACTTAGTTTAGCAATCTAGTTATTAAGTTATTACTTCTTTGTTAACAAGTGACGAGTTTACCTCCGAGTAAACAACACCGCGCATCTGTACTTCTTACCCGCATACCAACCGTCGAAACGATTACCTTTGTCAGATAGTTTGAGTTTCGTCACATCTAGTAGGATTCGTAGTCGGATTAGTAGTATTTATAGCTAAGTCTAGTCCAGGTAATATAAACTTTAGTCTTAGTAAAGTTAGAGTAGATTTTAATACTCTTATTCTAGTAGGATTAAGTACCTTCCTACTAAATACTAGTATAGTTCTCTAAGAGGGCTTCTTATTTTATAGTTATAACTAGTTATTTAGTTCGTTTATTAGTATTGTGACGATACGTACGATATGTTGCTCAAGGAGCGTCCAAGGTGTAGGTTATGGAATCGTAGAACTGTCTATTCGAAGATTCTAAGCTAAGGAGAGAAGAGAAGGAAGGACAGAAGCTCAAGAGCCAGAGGCTCTTAAATACAGGAGGTGGCGCCAAGGGCCATGCCTTAGCCGAGTCTCAGCCAGGGGCTCGTTTGACGCATGGTGGCCGCCGGGTTCCAGCCAGGGCTGGTCTGTAGCGTGGTGGCGGTGAGAACCGTCACAAGTATCTTATATCTTAATCCTACTTCTCTTAATCTTATACTTTATTTCTAGACCTTTAGGATTTTATTATTATTATATACCTTATAAGTTAATCCTTTTATTATAAGAGTTTAAATAAAGATATAAATAGTAGTATTCGATTACCTACTTTATCTAACACCTTTAACTTAACGCCTTTATTAAATAGTATTTTCTATATATTCTTAATTTATAACTTTTTTTCAATTAACCTAAGTTAATCTAAGAGAAGGATTAATAATTTAATAAGGGGCTATAAGAGCTATTACTATAAAGAGAGTATTTTACTCTACTAACTCTAGGATAAGCTATATCTAATATTAAGAACTATATAAGTTATAACTTTAAGATAATACTATAATAACTATAGGTACTAGAAGTACGCTAGTAGTCTTATAAGCTAGTATAGCCCGAATAGTTATATTCTCTACCTATTTATATGTAACGAATACTCAAACTGGCTAACTAAACTTGGCTGGGTGTTCGCTGGTTGGTATGCTATGATAAGAAGAAGACTATCGGGTTGTTCACTTGGAAGTGAACTCGTTACTTGTATCAAAGATGTCAAACTAATATGATAAGATTGATAACTAAGTTGAGCACGAAGCTCCTATCTAATGGCAGACGTGCTAGTCTTATATAGAACCTTCATCCTCAAGTACTATGATCTGGGTAGCCAACTCGCCTGTCGAGCTGGCGGTCCGTTTCGCTTTAATATGATAAGATTGATAACTAAGTTGAGCACGAAGCTCCTATCTAATGGCAGACGTGCTAGTCTTATATAGAACCTTCATCCTCAAGTACTATGATCTGGGTAGCCAACTCGCCTGTCGAGCTGGCGGTCCGTTTCGCTAGGTCGCCGAGCGATCCAGCGATCCAACTTAATCATGTGACCATAACCAATGGAAATCCCTGGATCGCTTAGCTACCCTAAGCGATCCCTATTTGCTATAAGAAACCTGGGTATGCCTGTCGAGGGTTGCGCCTCTTATTATGACAAGTATCACGTGAGCACGTGATTCGTGACACTTACCCTCTAACCCTCTTATACTATTATATTATCTAGAGTAGCCTAGTTACTCTTTATAGCTAACCTATTATAACCTACTATCCCGAATACTAATATATACTATTACCCTTTAGACTAAGAAACCCTTTTCCTCCTATCTCTCCTAGACTACGATATTATTTAGCTATATACTACCTTATAACCTATCTAGACACTAGTATATAAGACCTCTAGAAGCTTAACTTAGGAAACTTTAGAACTCTACGCTATACTATAAGTCGAGCTTAGATACTATCCTTACTTAGCTAACCTAAATATTATAGAAGTTCTAGTAATAGAGTTGTTCGACTATAAATACTAGTCGGCGTTATTCTTTAAGGCTCTAATAAACTACTATATTTTATTCGACTTATTACTAGAGATACTTAAACCTACGTCCCTAGATATATAAGACCTACTAAGTAGTCTACCCTACTCTTATAAGAACTTAGCTTATATATACTATAACCCTAACTATAACCCTTATGTAGGGGTACCTAGCCCTCCCGCTTCCTTTAAGGATTCTTTAATTACTCTTACTCTCTCCTCTAATATAATATCTATTAAGGCGCTCTAGGCTACTACTTAGAACGCTACTTTTACCTATAGGGTAATCTCTTAGTATATCGAGGACCCCTAATCCGTATTCTCCTTGTTCTCCGGTAGCTCTACCAATAAAGAGGTAATTAAGAACGCGAATATAATTAATAATCTTATCTTTATAAGCTCTAGCTTTACTAATACCCCCGAGAACGCGGGCGCTATAGCTTAAGTACTTACCTATACCTACCTAGGTACGGCGGATACTATATATAAATAGTCTAGGAAGACAAGTACTAACCTAGATAAACCTATATCCCCCCTCTCGGTAAGACGAAGTAACGATAGTCTCCTGTAACGAATACTCAAACTGGCTAACTAAACTTGGCTGGGTGTTCGCTGGTTGGTATGCTATGATAAGAAGAAGACTATCGGGTTGTTCACTTGGAAGTGAACTCGTTACTTGTATCAAAGATGTCAAA